AATCGATACTTTGACCAATTTTCTGCAAAATAATTGTGGTACCTTTCCTTCTTTACCACAACTTCAATATCGAAATTTCCTAATTTCCCATTTAAATGTGGTATGGTGTGCCATTTTAAATGGATTTCATGAGAAACTTTCACCCCAAAACACCCTGTCAATGGGCTGGGGACGTTGAGATAAGTCTGCCACATTATTCCGCAATCCTCTTCCCATAGATCCTATCAGAGTCTCCCTCTTGCCCTGTAAGATCTGTCGCTTTGTCTCTGGATAAGCTATTCCACTTGATCACTGCCAGCCCATCTGTACTACTCGAGGCGTTATTCCCCACATCCTGCCTCAAGTCTTTGATGGCACGCATAATCCCGCCTCGAGGAGTAGGCCGACAAAGTGTGAATTCTGAAGGAGGATGGGAGACAAACTTGTGGCTAAAGAGTCCGAGTAATTCGCATAGTCAAGTCTTTGCTTCATGGACCAGGCCTATGGTGAAATACGTTTACCGTTAGCCAAACAGCTCTAGCCCCCTTCGCAACTATCGTGCTTCCATCCTCAACGCAAATTTTATGAATTCTTATGCCCTATTCTCTTGTGTGCAACCCACAAGTTCTGCGGTTTTGATTAGGCTCATTGTAGACGCTTCCTCTCGAATTCTGATTCTTCCTATCTGGTCTCCTTGCAGAGGTCAAAGGTCAAAGGATCGACTTTACTTGTCTCTTTGACCAGTTTGCTGAGAATAGCAAGAATCCCTGACGATGCCGACGAAACGTCTGTAAATGTACCACGTCCACAGTCCAACTCTGCAAATGATGATGCATTCAATGGATCCCAGACTAAGTTCGTTCCTCTAAGTCTTCCTAACAATAAGACCAAGTTGCGAAGACAAGGTCAAACAACTGCACTATTTGAAAAAGTCTACGAAATGTACCCAAAAGGCATAGACAAAGTAAGTCGCTTCAACTTACCATCCTCGCAATGCTCGCCTTGCCAGCCCTCTTCGCAGATGCAGTGGTATCCGTTTTGTCCGACCGGCTCACATCGGCCTCGTTTGCAGGGCTGCAGGTCACAAGAAGGAATTTCTGCAACGTAAACAACAAAGGTAAAGTCAAAATGTCGGCTTTAAGCGTTGTCAGCACTTGTACT